GAAATATAGGGTCAAGTCGCGCTCCTCCTCCTGGTTCTCCGCTGCTTGCTCAGCCGCCATCGCCCATAGGAACCACTTCTTTCACCTATTCCGTAGCGACATGTCTGACTGCAATAGACGTCTCTTTGCCTCCGACTGTAACGAGTGTAAGCGTGTCCTCAACGATGCTAAGTCACTATTTGTTGCTCGGATGAAGGAGCGTATTGCATCTCGCAAATTTGGCTCCAAAGATTATTGGTGTCTCTGCAAGAGCGTATTGAACAATTGCAAATCCTCTATACCTCCTTTGTTCAACCAGTTCGAAGTTCTGACCTCCTCTGCCGACAAGACTGAATGCTTTGCTCGGAAATTTTCATTCAACTCAACGCTCGACTCTTCCGGTGTACCCATACCCGACTTCCCTCTTAGAACTGAGGCCCTATTGAGTGGGTTACACATAACCCCGTCGTTGCTATTGGGTATTATCTCCAATTTAGACCCCAACAAGGCTAGTGGTGGAGATGGGATACGAGCCATTGTCTTGAAGAATTGCGCGCCTGAACTGGCGCCCTCCTTCTCTAAACTGTATAACTACTGCCTCAAGGAATCTTATTTTCCTGACTGCTGGAAGTCCTCTTCGATTGTTCCTGTCTTCAAGAACTCTGGCAACCCCATCTGACCCTTCTAACTACCGTCCTATCAGTCTCCTACCCCTCTTCGGCAAAGTCTTCGAAGCCCTAATCAATACTGAAGTGGTTAACCACCTATCCCATGATGTGCTCTCAGACAAGCAATATGGCTTTCGCTTTTCCCGATCTACAGCTGATGTGCTTACGGCCATCACTGAAACTGTCTACCAAGCTCTTCAAAATAACGGGGAAGCTTGTGCCGTGGCCCTAGACATCTCCAAAGCGTCTGATAGGGCTTGGCATGCCGGCCTTCTTCGCAAGCTCCAGGGTTATGGCATTACGAGTCGATTGTTTGACCTAATACAATCATTCCTGTCAAACCGTGAATTGAAGGCCGTTCTCAACGGATTCTCCTCCAGTCCTATCCCACGAATGCAGGTGTTCCTCAAGGCTCCATCCTAGGCCACACTCTATTCCTTATCTACATAAATGACCTTCCTGACGCCATAAATTCCCAAGTTGGCATCTACGCGGATGACACCACAATTTATTCCTGTCTCAAAAACAAATCTAGTGTCACTGACAAAACTAACCTGGCCGTGCGTCTCGAAAAGGACCTCCAATCGGTTGTGAACTGGGGCAGGAATTGGCAGGTCAACTTTAATGCTTCAAAAACAAAACTGCTCTCTATTAATCACCACAGAAATCCTTCCCTGCCCTCCATTAGAATGTCTGACGCTCAAATTCTCGAGAGCACCTCTCTGCGGCTGCTCGGTCTCACGTTGACTGCTGACCTGAGATGGAACAAATACATTGAGTCAATTGCTTCGCCCACCTCAAGGAAAGTTGGCTCCCTGTGCCGCGCCAGGAAATTTTTCTCCCCGGAATCGATCCTCCAGATCTACAAATCAACAATTCGCCCTTGCATGGAGTATTGCTGCCATATATGGTCTGGCGCCCCTTCTGTTTGCCTCGGGGTTCTTGTTAGGCTCCAGAGGCGGATATGCAATATAATTGGCCCTGCTCTGGCATCTCGTCTACAGTCACTTTCTCACAGACGCGCCGTCGCTTCTCTCTGTCTTTTTACAAATACTTTCATGGCAATTTCTCGAGGAGCTGCATTCGCTGGTTCCCAGACTTCCTTCGGTTCAAGCGCCCTACATGAGGCTGGCATCCCGCTCTCACCCTTTCACTGTCAGAAACTCCTAAATGTAGCCGTCTCTTCTACTCCAACAGCTTCATGTCTCGCACCTCTCGCCTGTGGAACCCCTTCCTATTCAGTTTCCCTGAGAGCTATAATCTCCAGCTATTCAAATGTAATGTGAATCGACATCTCAGTTGCCTTGATCTATCCACTACCCTTCTCCTCATCCTTTCCTCTATCACTTCTATCTGATCTTGCTCCAAATCTTCTGTAACATCTTGCGTCCTAGTGGCTTCTCGCCTTGCTTGGGGTGAAACGCTTAAAAAAAAAAAACCCAAAAACAAAAAAAAAAAAAACGGTATGGAATTATAAAGTTAAGAAGTCATACATTTTCTCATGAATTAAGGAAGACCTTTATACGTCTCACATTACATACATATGAGCTAGGACTTTACCATCATAAAAAATACATAAACTTCCTAATAGAACACAAAACAATAAACTGGAGTCAGTGATAGGATTGTATTAACAGTTTTAAAACCCAACCATAAAACCTCGTGTGTGCATTCACTGTTGGGTGTGTCTGTGTTTGTATATCTGGGTCTTCCCACATACGACATTCTAGAACGTACGTACAGGTGTCAAAATTTATTTTTGTTTTGTTTTAGTCATGAACGAATGGATTCATGCGACCTTCTTCTTGCTTGAAATAGCTGCACAGGTTTCATTATTACCAAGTATTGTTCAATGTGTACGTAAAAGCCAGGGATTTGAATGCTGATATTCTAGGCAGGTAGGTCTTCCTTCAAAGACCTGATCTTGTTTCTGTTTATTCTCTATTCCGTGACCTTGTGCCATACTAACTTAACATTAATAAATTGGTCTCTCTCTCTCTCTATCTATCTCTCACCCTTACATCTATCAGTCTACGAGGCGCTATGCAAATATTCAGGGAATTTGAACAAAGCAAACTATTCATATGTCAAGTTAAACAATGTTTGTCAGGTCTCGCCAGATATTTTACACATTTCATGAAATCACTAACGCGGGAAATAAATAACTACATGTTTTTATCAGTTTTTCTTTTTTCTTTCTAGAAACCATGTCCCCCCCATGTCTGTCTGTGTGTCTTTGTACGTCTATGTATATGCATTTATGTTTTTGTGTGTAAGTGTGTATGTTTGCATCTGTTTACATGTATGTAGGCCTGCGTGTGAAGGTATTTGTGTGTATATAAATGTGCTTGCGTTTTGTTGTGTTTATGTGGGTGTGTGCGCGCGATTGTTTTATTGATTTGTTTTTTTTTTTTACAGTTTATCAACCTTTATCAGGTTATTTCAAACCAGAAAATGTATTTGGATTGTAAACTTTTTTAGAGATCATAATGATTTACTGATACAAGTCGCACTATTCGACCCATAGCTGGGGGAAAAGAAGTGGATTCATATCTTTACCAAGGGTATGTGTGTGTAAATTAGTATAACGAACCCGACTGGAATTGAAACTGGGCTCTCCAATTTCCATTTCCGAAGCTTTATTACACCATCCAAACATCCAAGCTTACGGCACTTGGTATTCTCAAGTAATCTAGGTACTGACCAGACTCGACGTTGCTTAACTTTGGTAATCGTAGGAGAACCGTTGTTTGAACGTGACATGGCCGTAAGCTGTTTGTGTGTGTGTACGTGTGTGTGTGTGTGTGTGTGCAATTGATTGTGTGCATATATATATATATATATATATATATATATATATATATATATATATATATATGTATGTATGTGTGTGTGTGTGTGTGTGTGTGTGTGAATATGTGTTTGTATTTTCCTGTACGTATGTATGTGAGTGTTAGTTTACATTTATTTTTTCTGTATGTGTATGTGCTTTTGCGTGTCTGTGTTTTTGCGCGTGCGTGAATGTGTGTGTGAATGTTTTTTTGTGTATATGCACCCCGGGCATCCATATCAGGAGGGCATCCAATCAAATAGTGAAATAAAAATTTAGTTTATATGTAATTTGCATAAAGTTTTTATTTCATGTTTCATCGTTTTAACATATTTAAAATGTCTTCCTTTCTCACATTTCTTAGTACTAGGCCCATTATAACCCCCGCCATCCCTTACTTGACCGTTAGGGGGGGCATACAATCAAGGAGTTGGCCTCGGGCATCACTAAACATCAAACCTCTGCACGTCACTGCAAGGACATAAAACAAAATAACAAAAGAAAGTTTTTTATGTTGGCCAAAAGCAATCACACAACCAGAGCATAATTTATTGATTGTTTTGGTTTTTATGATTTATCAACCCTTTGTGAGTTATTTGAAACCGAAATATATTTTGGAACCCAAAGCAGAAAAGAGTGAAAAGAATTTTCAATCGCAGACAGGAGATAACACCATTGAAATTGCTAAATAATTCCTCCATTTTTTATTTCAATCAATCAGTTATCGACCTTTTATCATTAACCAACTTTAGGTATTAAATAGAATAGAATAAAATTAGCCAATACGAGAAATTGATCTTTAAGTATAAATATCTTAGTAAATGATGAATCTGACCAACGCTAGGTAGCCATATTTGTGTTAAATATTCACAAATGTACTAATATCTCGCCATTTTCATATTTATATATTTCAATTTATCTTAGTCTGGCGAAGGTCCCCAATGAGGATCAACCTCACTACAGTATTAATCAGATATCAAGCTAATTGTTAGCTACTTAGTATATCCATTCTAGAGGTTTCACTCTATATGTATATATCAGTCTGTTCTTATATAAAACAAGGCTTCCCAATTTGGAAAATTGGCGCAACATAGTCTTTCTACATTCCTAACAGCTAATATATTTGCATAGTTATCAAATTTTCAATTCCTATATAATTACGATATATTGCTCAGTTTTTTTTCAGTCTTTATAATGCAGTGATTAGCGAATTGTTATCAGCAACTTGTGTTGAATGTTCGATTCTCGATGCATTTTACAATCCTTACCAAAACTTGGTAAATATCTACTGAAACTAGTAAATATGTAAAAGAGGTTATGTGTGCGCGTGTGTGTATGTGTGCGCGCACCCAGGGCTCTAATTTAGCTTGTTCGTCGATGTAAATGTTGTTTTGTCTTGTACTAAGATCTTTTAGAAGAGTTTAGGCCTAGAAAGAAAAAATTCTGCATATATGCCATGGAAAATGAACGAACCAATCAGTGACCGCCTTAACGTCACATGACAACGTCACTTAAGCGTCGTTATGGTCGCTTGTGAGTCGCGTCCCTCTTTGACGGTGGCGACCACGGCTGTAATAACAACAACACGGAACACTTATTTTCTTATTCATTTAAGAAAAATTAAATATTATGCACAGGCCAGTTGCAGAAAGATCCTTAGGTAGGTAGAGTTGAATTTCTTTTTTCTTTCTTTTAATTTTGATTAGACTTGTTTTAAAGGGACATTAATTATCAGCGCAAAGTTATAAAACTAAGTAGTAGTCCAAGTAAAGTTATTATTACTTATTAGCAACGATTGTGTTACATTTTTTGTTGGATTTTTAGTTTTATTATTTTGTTTTTTGACAGATTTTTTGTTTTTTCTTTCTTTTATCTTTATTTTCTAAGACCATAAATAAATCCCGTTCTTCTTATTTCTTTTTCTCTCTTTTTTGTTACTTAATCTTCTGAATTACTTTTCTTTTATTTCCTTTTCTTTCTTTCTTTCTTTCTTTCTTTCTTTCTTTCTTTCTTTCTTTCTTTCACACTCTCTGATTTCTCTCTCCAACATGAAAGCCAAACGACTATCATTAAATATCTCTCACTAAATGCTCCGTATTAGTAGCCTTGTACTAAAACTAAACTACGCTCAGTAAAAGAAAAAAGAAAAGATATATATATATATATATATATATATATATATATATATATATCCGACGTTGTATAAAATCTATAATTTATTTTTCATAAAACTTGAAAATTAATTTTGTTTTTAATATTTTTCTAATTCACACTCTTATCTTTAAACTTTAAACTAATTTCCGTGCCTACCGTAGCTCGAAAATTAGCACAATCGTCTCGTAGAACTGGTGTAATGTGTTCGATCCTCATTGGGTACCCATTACTTTGGCTTTGTGTAACACTAAAGCATAATAAATACACAGAGAACAATGGTTAACAAGTTCGTTTCTCAACTGAAATAGCAAGTGTAATGTATTCGATGCGAAGTGCTCTATTTTCGTAGCCTTATGCCAGACTAAACTAAACTTCGTCGATAACAAATAGATTAAAAAAAGTTCTTTCGTGTCGACACTTGTAATTTTGAAGCAGATTTTTGTTTCTAGAAATATTTTCAAAATAATTCGAGCATAAATATTTTTTCACCACAACTCAATTTTATTTCTGATTACGTTTGATTTTTTCTCTCCCACGCCAATCGCTTCCACGTTTGAATTTTGTTTGAAAGTAAACATTAATATTTACAAAACGCATAGATAAATTTGCTTTTTGTTTTCCTTCTTCTTCTTATGCATTCAAATGTAATAATGAAAATATTTTTTAGTCAACCACAAAAAGAAATAAATTCAAATTAAAAATAATATGGATATATAACCGTCGTCCGAAATCAACTTTAGAAGTTAAGATGACCAAATCGAAGTGACAGGATATATTATTGATTAATTCAGTCGTGACTTTATTTCGTGATTGTCCTTTTTTTCTTGTTTCTTTTATTGTTGCGTGAATTATTGATCGGTATATTTTCCGGCTGTCCTCAGCTGAAGTGTTGTCCGACTTATTATGTTGAATTGTCACACGCAAACCTGTAGTATACATGTTGCTTTTAGGTGTTTATTTGTTTTGGCTGAACAAAGGAAAAAACAAAAAAACAAAAAAAAAACAAAAACAAAAAAACAAAAAAAAACCAAAAAACAACAGAAAACAACAAAAAGAAAACAACAACGACAAAAAAAACAAAAAAAAACAACAAAAAACGAAGCATTCCTTTCTATTTAGGTTTCTTTTCAAATATAAGTTTTCCATCATTGTTTTTTTAACAGAATTCTAACACAAAAGCACACACACATTTTGGGACAAATGTATAAAATAAAGATCAGACAATTTAAATGAATTAATCTATAAAAATCGACAATGCTGATGAGTATCTTACTTGGTTGGTTATTCATTATCCAAAGTGAATTTATATCTTTAAAATGCACACGGAGATGTTTCGTGTATAAGACTAATTGTTGAATATTTATTTGGCAGATCCTACTTGATACCTAAATTCGCTGCGTGGTCCTCTCTGATACCAGTGACCTGCGTTCGTGCTCCGCTAAAAGCTAGTTTGCCCTTCGCTGCTGTTAAGATTGTACTACACGACCTTGTTCAAATTTCCGACTTATAATACGCACCTATGATTTCGTAAGGAACATTTAAAAAAATAATTCATATATATCATTATTTTCCAATATTTTAACATGTAACCATAACTTAATAATTTATGATCCTTCAGGCGGGTCATCAGGAGCCTGATGTGTCAAACAGGAATATTTATTTGTTTGTCTAATGCTGGTTACTCCGTAGCATAAGACACCAGAGTGATTTTTAGAAGCTATGTTTTGAAAAGTGTGTCATATATTGTGATTCACTAACCCTAACTTAGATGTGGGACAAGGCTGAAAGTAGGGGGTACCCACTGAGGATCGAACTCACGACTCAGTTGTAACTCTTCTAGCGAGAACAAACTTTCTAACCATTACTCCACGTCGATATGACCAAAATGTGTAACCGGGATTACAGTAATTTCGATAAAAGACATTTTCAAAAATATTTGATTTAAAATCAGACTTTATAGATGTGGGTATCTCAAATTTTACAAGTCAAAGTTGATCCCCAAATGTGCTGAGAGCTGACTTAGTTATTTCAGTGAAAGTGGGGTACGTATGCAAGGGTTTTGCAGGAAGAGGAATTGGTGAATGTGACGTGTGTGGCAATTGAATTAATTTCCTAGCGGATCCAAAATCTGACCAATGTCAGATCAATTTGAGAAGTTATCCACTGCTCCGTGCGACAAGGTTGGCTTTTCTGAAATGTCTCATGCTTCTAGATGCTTCTACACAATGTTTCTTTACTAAGCTGAGCTCAACTTTAGTAGAAAGCCACGAGAGACAGTTTGATAAATTTATGCTTTTTGGTAGTTTTTACTCGTGCCATGATGTATTAGAATAGCAAGAGTTATTTATCTTTTGTTATTAACATTTATATATATTTAGGGCAAAAGGAAAATGTGTTGAATATATTTTATGTATTTTCGTCTAAGACCAGACGTGTCATTCTCTCTTGTATCTCGTGATGGTCTGACTCATTATCAGTTAGTCATGGCTCGCAAAATTTGCTTGCTAAAACTTGATCAACGCCGATGCGATCAAAGAATTAGTTTAAAAGGGTTTTCTCACTAAACGCAATATTTTGTAATTGATAGAATGAATATCACTGGAGATCCCGATCAATATTTCCGTTATCACCCGAATTATCAATGAATCAATTTAGAAAGATCGATAGATAGGAATAAAATCCTGAGAAATATAGGGATAAATAAATATTGGCAGACTGAAATACATACCTAGATAGATAGATACATATGTACGTATGTAGATATCTATAAACTGAGATCATATAGAGAGATAGATAAAAGCACCAAGATAGATAAAAACAGATTCGACAACTATAAACACTCTGCTTCTTCTTCATTGGAATGGGATTCTTGCCTAAATTGAACACATAGCAACAAATAACAAATACAGCTAACTACAAGGGAAAACTCAACCATAAACGGTATTTTTATGGATTTATAAACGTAATGTATGTTGGTATTTTCTGTTACAAGAAAAACTACAACCAAAATTTCATGAGCTTATAAGGTTGGCATAATAATTGGATTTGAAGTGTTCGCTCTTTGGAATATAAATATATAGATAGTAATGGTATAGGAATGGCAGTAGGAAAACATTTTAGTTTTTTGCCGACGCATTTCGTCTTTCAACTTTATCAAGCAAAAATGAGAGCGAAATGTTTTTTGTTTTCACAGTTACATTAAATCCAAAATTTAAAAAGAGAGAGACGCTTTTGCGTGAGCCTCTTTCTGGCTAATGTTAACCTTCTTTATACTAAGAGTTTTTTTTTTGTTTCTATGTCGAAAATATATTAAAATTCCGAGAACAATTATCTTTAGAATTGTTCTGGAATTTTACTATTCATAATATATATATATATATATATATATATATATATATATATATATATATATATATATATATATATATATATATATATATATATATATATATATATATATATATATATATATATATATATATATATATATATATATATATATATATATATATATATATATATATATATATATATATATATATATATATATATATATTGATTGATTGATTTGTTTTTTACGGCTTATCAACCTTTAAGTAGATTAACATCAGAAAATATTTTTAGTTTCTAAGAAGTTTTTGGAGACAATGATGATTTACTGGCACAAGTCTTACTAATTAACACAAATCCGGGGGAGAAGAGGTGGAGTCATTACCTTTTCCCAAGAGCATTTGCGCGTAAGTCTTCTGATTTGAGAAAAAACATGGCATAGCTATAAATTTCAATTTACCTTTTGAAAATCATAGAACTATGAAATCGTTACTCTAATATTCTTAAAGACTCAGTTTCATTCTCTTGTTATATATATATATATATATATATATATATATATATATATATATATATATATATATATATATATAGAGAGAGAGAGAGAGAAACAGAGACAGAGAGGAGGTACGGTGGAATAGTGTGTAGCGGCTCGGATTCCAGTCGAATCCATTACATTCGCTTACGTGCTTATACCCTTGGGAAAGGTATTAATCCTCTTCTTCTCCCTCCAGCTATGGGTAAATAGCAGGACAGGCTGGGTTCTATAGCCTTGGATGGCAACTGGTCTAGGAGAAGGATAACTCTGAATTCAAAACATGCGGAGGGTCGTTTTGGGGACATTGTAACATGTATCGCACCAGTATTTGGCCCTTCAAAAAGTGTGGTTGGTTTTGCACAAAGCCTTCACCACTATAATCAAATCATATGTGCTGGTGTCTCGGCTGTTGGTTCCTAGGAACTCAGCTGCTTGACCCTCATGCATCGAATACGATGGGAGAGTCCACCATATGTATATATCTATGTGTGTATGAGTGTGCGTGTGTAAATATTGAGATATTACTAAAATATATCTGTAGGTAGATGGACAATATGAATAAAAAAGAAAAACTTCTAGTTAGCCTTATGTATATTTATGAACATCCTTAAATGTAGAAATTCGGTAAAAATAACGACATCTTTACTTTTGTTTACAAATACTTGTTGCAAAATAAAATCCTTATATTTGCCTTTGATAAAGTCCACCAGAGGACGTAACGCGTTGGTTATGATAAGTTTTCCTTTTCTATCTATCTATCTATCTATCTATCTATCTATCTATCTATCTATCTATCTAGATCAGTGGTTCTCAAATGGTTGCGCCCTGGAAGATGTCTAGATACGCCCTGACATTCCAGAGAAATGTGTCCAAATATAAGAAATAAATATATTTACTTTATCATATTGCGATACCCGTCTTCTTACGGATAGGCCTCGAGGAAAGTTTCAGTGATAGGAAGCTTTTGTTTTGCTGTATTGAACTGGTAGGTGTTGCTGGTTGGTCCTCCAGGCCTAGTTCGAGAAAGTTGATTACTAAAGGATGTATTATTATATAACATAAAATGATGACGAGGATTAGGATTGTTTATTTTAAATCTGTCTTATAGGAATTTATCATTGATAATTTCATAGGAATTTATCATTGATAATTTATCATTTATTTGTTTATAAGCAAATGTGATAAATTAATTACTTTATCATATCCACTGATCGTGGGTTGATGATTAAACATAATGGATTGTCTCTTGAAACTTTTTGGATTTCTATAAAAGAAGAATATGTGTCAATATCTAAAAAAAAAGCTCTGACATCATATTTATGTGAATTAGGTTTTTCTGCTTTCACCACAATTAAGTTAAAAAAAGAGGAACTTTTCAATGTATTGACGAGGAAATGAGAGTTTGCCTATCAAATATACGCCCAAGCATTGAAGAAATCGCCAAGACTCATCAGGCTCATGTTTCTCATAAACACAAGAATGAATAAACTTAAGGTGTGTTTCATTTTATGTTTTTTATTGTATTATTTCTTTTCTGCAATATTTGACTTCATTAAAACATATTTTTCCGAAATTTGTATATAGAGCGCCTAAAATTATTGGTAGGATTTCAAGTGCATCCCAATTGCAAAAAGTTTGAGAACCACTAATCTAGATATTACAATCTATCTATCTATCTATCTATCTATCTATCTATCTATCTATCTATCTATAATTTTACACTTTATCTATATATCTATTACACTTTATCTATCTATCTATCTATCTATCTATCTATCTATCTATCTATCTATCTATCTATCTATCTATAATTTTACACTTTATCTATATATCTATCTATCTATAATTTTACACTTTATCTATATATCTATTACACTTTATCTATCTATCTATCTATCTATCTATCTATCTATCTATCTATCTATCTATCTATCTATCTATCTCTATCTATCTCTCTCTCTCTTTCTATATATATATATATATATATATATATATATATATATATATATCCAGACATTACATATCTATCTATCTATCTACATAATGTAATACCTGCATAGATAGATAGATAGATAGATAGATAGATAGATAGATAGATAGATAGATTGTAACGTTTTTGAATATTCAGCAATGTATCCGATCAGGATCACTCAGTAATTATCTAAGTTCTTGAAAGAGCAAAAAATTAAATTTGACATTCGTTGATAATATTGAATGAATATCCTACAACATTTAATTTTTTTGACGTTGCATCCTTTACTTTTATCAAGGGTCATTAGTGAAACTCCCTCAACTCTCGGATTATTAATGTTTCCCGTTCCCGCCTATTTGAACATTTGTCGGCCGCCATCCCATAACATGAACTACTGAATGAGTTTTACAATAATCAGAGTAGTCATTGTTATTCTGTTGACCAAGTTTTGTTGCAGTGAGATCTTTGTGTGGTTTATGTGTGAGCTTTGAACTAAGTTATAAGTTAATGTATTTATCGGTTGTCCTCGCTTGGAAGCAGCCGGTTAGGGTGGTAGTGGCTGCTACAGCTGCCGCTTCTGTTGTTGCTGCTACCTGTTGATTGTTGATTGTCGATTGACGGACTGTTTTGTTCACAACAAGCCACTGACGTCTTTATCTAAGCAATGCGAATCACCCCTCAAGGATAGGCAAAGGTTTAGTAATTAAAATAGGATCGCGATATTTACTGTTCGATTCACTCTCTCTCGGATGATTTAGATTGGTTGATGAGAATCAAGTAGGAGTGAATTCTTGCGATAAATGTAGTACAGGGTTTTTTTTTTCATGAAACTATACAGCCATTTAACATGAAAATATTTCCTATTCAAATCAATGGCACCTTAGTTCGCTTTAAAGTATTCCCTCGAGCCTTTCACACTTAACCCAACATCCCTTCATTTTCGGGATCTCCATCAGCTGCTTCGTGGTGTTCTTCGTCCACGCTCTGAAATGTTTTCTCTTTCAATAGTGATTTTTATTTTATTTTAAATTTGAGAAATTTCACAAATCACTCGAGACTGCAGTCAGGGGCGAACATGCCTGGATGATGCGATTTTTTTGTGTACAAACCCTATACGAGATGTGAAGAATCAGTTATTTTTACCAGTGCTCATATTGCAATTTTGTTATTATTGCTTTTCTCTAGCACTCATTATACTGAGTTTTAGAGGTGTGCTCGTATATCGTCGTATTATCGGCATAGATGTTTACAAATGATCTGCTTACTGATGTGGTTCATTTTTTAAAAAGAATCTCACCGCAAAAGTGTAAATATTTTCTTGAGAGTACCAAATAGGTCCTCGGTAGAGATTTTTGTTGAAGCGAACAAAAAGATAAGAAGAGTTAATGAAAGGAGTCTTGTCCATGTTTTTATTGTACTACATAGACACGAGACAAAATAACACCTTGTGCTAGTCTACTTTTTATTTCCTGTTTAAATCTATATATAAAATTCTGTGACTTCCGTGCGCCCATCCGTCACACCCTCTAAAATAGCCATACATTGACCAATCGAAACCAAATTTTTGGGAAAACTACATACAAGTAAGGGGGGGGGCAAAGTACAGTTGGTTTTACTAGAGGGGCGTATAAACCGCAAAGTTGAGTTTTTGTTTAAGTATTTTCCCAAACGAATCAGCTTCAAATTTCATCGATTGGTTTGCGAAATTCAATGAAACGTAGAGTTTGTAAATCTCGACAAAAAGTGTTAACGATAACTTCAACAATACTAAATACTGTGAGGATTTCAACACTAGTCAGCGTTTTGCAAAAACATTCTAGTCTTTAAAATTGCTGACTGGATAGTCTTTCAATTGGACTAAAATAAAATGACTAAAACTTTCATATAATCAGAAACTAAAAAAAGGTTATTTTATTTAAACGGATCTTTTTGATTGAGAAAAAAGAAATTGAAGGTTGTCAGACGTTAGCAAATGAGGGAATGAAATAAACATGAAAAGAAACGCCCTTCTTTGCTTACTTAATCGATACACATTTTTATAATCGATAAACAACTTCGTTAAATGTGGATGAAACAAAAGATTAACCAGGGAACAAGAATGGCCATCTTGAAAACTACTGTAAATAGCAAAATAGAGCGAATTAGTTTTGGTTTAATTTTTCATAATTATTTAAATTTAATTAATATCATCCAAATGAACATTTTAATCAAAGTGTGACCACAAGCAAGTTAGTAATTCAAACCCAAACATCGACTGCTGTTGTCACTTTTGTTGCTATTACTACAATTTACGCCAATCTTTCTCAGAGTTGGAAAACTTTTTCAGTATCCTCTGAATCCTTTTTATTTGGTCTTTGTAATCATGAACGAAATTTCCTGACAGTTTCGAATAATTCAATGATACTTTCATATTTTACAATTTCAAGAACTCTCGGGCGAGGTCCATGTTGTCTTTTTTGATTTATTTTAAGATAATTCGATGATTCGCTGTACATTACAATACGATCCCTTATGTCAGTGGTTCCAAAACCGTGCAGTGTGCTTCATAGGTGCAGCGGAAGAGGATAGCAGGTGAGGCGGAAGAGGATAGCAGGTGAGGCGAAATGATTGAAAGACAATCAAAAAATTTAGAAACAGTTTAAAAAAATTCATATGTCAGAAATAAATATGATTTCAAAATTTAAAATATTATTATGGATTAATTGTAATTGCATGTGCATCGGTCCCAATATAAGTAGTTATAAATAATTGTTGACCAATTTTATCATTGTGATATTTTTTGCATTATATCAAGTATTAGTAATTAGGCTTTGCAAATTGGAGGAGAGAGTTATCAATGATAATGTTCAGACTTTGAATCCGTGGTTGTCTCCCTTTACCACTCTCTCTCTCTGTTTTTTTTTTTTTAATATTTTTAGATGTACTTTTTATCACATAAAATTTGGGGAGGCGCGAGCAAATTTTAATTCTGAAAATGCTGCCCAGAGAAAAAATGTCTGGGAAGCATTGCTTTACGCGAACGACTCTTAAAAGTCGTTCTCATCTTATAAAATTTTAAGAAAACAGAATCTTTTCTCAACTTCGTGAATCTTTTTTTTTTTTTTTTTTACTGATTTTAATCACGCGACGAGGAAAACATTTGTTTATTGAACGCTGAGAACAAATTCTTTCCGTTCAGTAATATTCTTTCTCCTTTTTTTTTTTGCCGACGTGTTTCGTCCGATGTGGACTCTCTCAAGGCAAAACTAAATGAATTTATTAAACGAAGTAACTAATAATAACAAAACAAAATGTCCTTTTTCTCTTTTAAAATTATCGTAGAAACAGAATCAAACAGACACACACACACACACACGCACACACACACACACACACACACACACACACACACAAAATAAAAAAAAATTATGATCCATAATCGGGATATTTTTTATACTTAAAAGAGTGTAACGATATTCCAGATAAGTTCATTATAACGCACCATATTAACTGCACTACGCTAGACACTATTTATTTTTTTTAAAAATTAAGGACATTCAATTTTATATTTAAAATACAAGTTAGTAATATTTATTAAATTAAAATAGCAATATAATAATATTCAAGATGATTCTTTCTTTTATGAAATCTAGAAGAGAACGTTTAAGACTATTCCCCCATTCAGACTATATTTTAGTAAACTGAAGGACACGTGCCACAAAGCAATAGTTAGTAAACCGATCTTGCAGATCATTGGCAGTGGCGTTATCTTATTAACGTCGTCCTTAACCAAACACGACTGGCTTTATGCGCCATATTTTTTCAGGACGTAGGCAAACATAGTTATCCACAGCTTCCCATGCTTGCAGATATTTGAATTTGGTTATTTTTGTAATTAGCGTTTTTATGTTTTTAATTCTATCGAATTTAAATTTGTTCGCTTTGCAATATTGAAGCTGAACTTAAATACGACCCCTTTCATACAGACGCCATATTTGAACATTTCTGTTTGAAAGACTGTTGACTGATTGAACAAAGATAAACGAGAGAAAAGAATCTGGATTGACGAATAGACGCCATTATTTAAATTAAAGGTAGAGGAGAGACATAAGAGAAGAAACATAGAAATCCAAAGATACAAAGGAAGAGCAAAAGATGCTTTTCAGAAACAAAATAAGGTATTAGGAACCGAGAAATATCCGTAGAAACAAAAAAACAATATTTCTGTACTGTTGTGAAATGTTTAATCTCAAGCATGACAGTGAATACTGGACAAGGAAATTTTTAATCTAAGCATGGCAGTAAATACTGGAAAATTCATAAAGGCTAATAACAAGGTAACCCAGAAGGAAAACAAATGCAAACAGGACAGGGTGGGAACAGTGATCAACTGGGAATTGGGCAAAAGATTTGGCGTTTACTATCTAATCAACTGGTATCAGTATAAACGGGAAATAAAAATAAAAGAATACAATGTTCTGAGAATTTGACATTTCATTCAAGCAAAAAAGACCAGATTCGATAAACGAAAAGTGCATTTTCCAAATTTTAGATGTAGCCATATCGGCAGATCGCATGGTGAACCAATAACAAGGCCTTACCCCAGAGCTGAGAAGGTTGTAGAATATGAAAATTCGGGCCGGGCTGAAAATAATTGGCGCACATATAGAAAACATTAAAATAAAGCTTGGTTAATTCGGAATTTAAGGAAGAATTGAGAATGTCCTGAAGATGGCGGTGGTGCGGTCTACGAAGATAATGGGAAAGACTCAAGAAATTTGAGACTTGGTGTTACGCAATCTTCAATTAGTGCCGCTAGTAGTTATTTGGTGTGAAATGTAAATACTACTACTAAATCTACTACTACTACTACTACTACTACTACTAAACATACTTCTACTACTACTACTAATAATAATAATGTAGAATGCCCTTAACATCACGAGGCGTCAACACCTGTCAGACAAGGAACCCTATGGCAAGAATATTTCCATCTCTGAAAACGCACGGAAGCATAGATTTAGATTTTAGAATAGTATTGGCGCCATAAAGAAGAACTTGTTGCTGATGTCCAGTTGTGGCAATCATCTCATAGCTT